TAGTATATATGTAATGTCACACTCTTCACCAAAAATGTTCCCATTTCAGATAAGTTTCCAGACTATTTGTACTTGGACAAATATGTATTTTGATTTATGAAATTCAAAGTATTCAATCTTTTTAGAATTACATACTTTACAAACTTAATTCTTTCTAGAATTCTAGAACTGAATGATAACCAAATTGGACTAGAGCTTCTATTTGTGATATAGGTATGGTGGCTCACAAAAAAATAAAATTCTTAAGTAATGGAAAAATGAAAGGTTATCTTCCGTGAAAGTGACAAGAGATGCAAACCATGTTGACAGAGCTTACATGGACATGATAGAGTTATGGGTGTGGATTTATACTGGGAGAGGTGGCATATGGTATTGATTCATTAAGGAGAAATAGTCAAATTTCAGTGCAGGATCTGGAGTGTAGGGGAAATAATGGGCCTTGGTGACTGATGACGTGAGAAAGGGGGAGAGGTGGGTATCAGGGGAAGCTGCTGAGAGGAAGAGTCAATAACCCCCAAGACTGGATACTGACTGTCCCTGGTAACTAGAAAAAAGGCAAATATAAACAAAGAGAGGTGAGTGACGATGCCTAGTGCATTGGGGATCTGGAAACACTGGCAGAGCTGCAGCACCGCCGTGGGTCCAAGTGGTAACTGGGGATCTGAGCTCGGCGGTGACGCGCGGCCCTCACGTGACCAGGAGCCTATGTCTGCCCAAGTCCCTCTCATCCTGGTCCTTTTTGCCAGTCCAGACACCGTCTGCCCTTTGGTCGAGGGGAAAAGCAGAAGGAAGTAAGTCCCCGCGGTCCTCTGAAATCGGTGTGAGTGTCAGTGCTGCCCAGTAATCCCAGGGATCAGGATGGCAGAGAGTCCAAGCCTTTCCCTGTGCCAGCCCCGCGCCAGCACTTCGGTGCAGAAAATGGTGGTTTTGGGGGTGGGGAGGTGAGTGGACCAACCCTGAGAGGGAGCCACAGACACTTAGATACAGTTTCTAAATAATCCTTAGCTTCCACATCCCGCCTGAAAAGAAATGACGAGCACCGAAGGGTGGGGGTGGGGGGCACGAAGGACAAAGCTTGAGGTGAAGGGAGACATGGAGGGGGGTGGGGGTGCCTGGCTGACGGGGAAGCAGAGCCGGCTGGCGCGGGGTTGGCGGCTGGTGCCCAGAAAGGGGCGCGAGTGTCAGTCAGTCCTTCCTCCCTACCCTCTCCCTTACCCCTACCCTGTCTGGCGTCCGTCTGCAGGTCTGCAGGTCACGGCGGAGAGAACGCCTGGGAGCAAACGGCCGGGAGAGGTCCGGGTCCAGGAGGGGTGGGCAGGGGCCGCGGAGGGGTGCGAGGGAGGCCGCCGGTGGGAACCGAGTCGCGGCGGCGTTCCCGCCCCGCCCCTGCCGCTGCGGGAGAGGCCCGGGGCAAGGCCTGCTGGGAAAATGGTGGGCTTTCGGGAAGGAGGGGGCGACCTGGGCGGGGTCCCGGGGATCAGGGCCTCCCGGCCTGAGTAGGTGGGAGGACCTGGTCCCCAATCAGGAAAAGGCAGCTTTGAGAATCCGGGGCCGGGGTTTTGGTCCCGCCACCAAATATGCTGACTCGACTGTCTTGCTTGTCTCTTCTGAATGACTGTGCTCACGAAGGCCGTTCCCAACATGGACAGATCCTGCCAAGCAAATGAGCAGCCACAGGGTTTGCCCGAGATGGACAAGGAGCAGCCTCGGGCGGAGCCCTCGCCCGAAGAGCCTCGTGGGGAGGAGCCTTGTCGGGAGGAGCCTCGTCCGGAGGAGCCTTGTCCGGAGGAGCTTTCTACCGAGGAGCTGTCTTCCGAAGAGCAATCCTCCGAGGACGAGTTCTTTCCCGAGGAGCTCCTTCCCGAGCTCCTTCCCGAGCTGCTGGTGGCCGAGGGGCGCCCCCTAGAGGAGCGCCTTTCCGGGCCGGACCTGTTCGAGGCGCGCCCTCCCATGGAGCAGCCTCCTTGCGGAGTGGGAAAACATAAGCTGGAAGAAGGAAGCTTTAAGGAAAGGCTGGCTCGCTCTCGCCCGCAGTTTAAAGGGGACATACACGGCAGAAATTTGAGCAACGAGGAGATGATAAAGGTAGCAGAGGAGATGGAAGAGATGAAAAGAGTACGAAACAAATTGATGATCATGCACTGGAAGGCGAGACGGAACCGTCCTTATCCTAGTTAATGTGTCCGGCCTTTAATGCTGGTTTGCCTAATTTCAGTATTGCCACTCGAATCCCTCTCGCCATCTTCTTAATTTTAACTTTTTTTTGCATGGCTTTATTTAAGGTGTTTCGCTTGTAACTGGTGTAAAATTGGGCTTCCTTCCCCTCCCATCTGCAAGTCTCCCTATCAATCATGTCTCATCCATTTGCATGGAAAGATGGACATTATATATTGTGAAGTGAAAAAAGCAATTTTCAAAAAGTATATGTAGTATCCCATTTTTGTAAAAAAAATGTATATTTATATATTAATATGCAAAGTAAAACAAAGTATATACTTCAAAGGCTTAACAGTGGCTGTTTTGTGGTAAGATAATAGGTGTTTGTTTTTCATTTTTGCTTTGTTGGAACTTCTCATTTTTTCAGGACGAACACATTGTACTTGTGTTGCAAAAAATTCCACACCCCCAAATAATGGGGGAAATGTCAAGCAATTTATACACTATCACCTTATAAAGACAATGTAGCACTTAATAAATACTTGTCAGAACTTTGAAAAAGTAAATCCCATGTTTCTTCTGAATCTCAGGCAGAAATATATATTTAAGGGTCAATCTTTTCCCATTTAAATAGAAGTAATACTTGACTCACAGGGCTGCTGTGCAACCAAATGACGTAAAAATCATGTGAGCTGTGTGTTTTCCCCCACCTGCAACATTCAGGACCCCAACCCCTAGAGCAGCCGTGGGCAAACTACGGCCTGTGGGCCGGATCCGCCCGTTTGGAATGAATAAAACTAAAAAAAAAAAAAGACCGTACCCTTTTATGTAATGATGTTTACTTTGAATTTATATTAGTTCACACAAACACTCCATCCATGCTTTTGTTCCGGCCCTCCGGTCCAGTTTAAGAACCCATTGTGGCCCTCAAGTCAAAAAGTTTGCCCACCCCTGCCCTAGAGCAAGCATGTCAAACTCGCGGCCAGGAAGGAGGGTTCACTTGCACTCACAATTCCTGTGAGATTCCAGGTGAATGCCACATTTTATTCCTGCCCTGCTATTCTCTTCCTGTGGATACTGTCATGTCTGCTAGGCACAGCTATCCTCTTGGGTCCTGCTCCTTCCATGACCCCTATCACTGGGTGCAAAGTCTCACTAATCGCTCTGGAGTCCCTGCTGAGCCAAAGCTGAACTGTGTCTCCTACAAATATTCAGTGAATGCCCCTCCTCCAGCTTTAATATTATACTTTCCCAGGTGGATACCATCCCAGTGCTGCTTAAACCTCAATGTCTTAAAGAACTCTTAGCAAAATAGTCCTTCCTATTTTTTTTCTGAAAGCTTCCCTTTTCTCCATTGGACTCAAACATGAGTTCATTGGGTCCTGGCTAGGAAGCAAACTTGTGAGCCAGACACAATGATGTGTACTTAGAATTGGAACCTCCCTCCCAAATAATCTCCAATGATTTTGGTTTTAATTATTTAATACTTGCTTTAGGCTGAGCTCTCTCTGGCAGGCTTGCCTTAACAATTCAGCTGACTTGCTCAACTTGTTTACACTAAAGAGGAAAGTAAGGCCCAAGCTTGGACTTTTCCTTTCTACCCCACCCATATCAACAAAAGTGCTT